GGGGTAGGGGGGGGGTAGGGGGGGGGGTGGGCAGGAGGGATAGGGGAGCTGCCAGCACATACGGCCCCATTTTCATGCGGGCCGGCATCGGAACGGTTCGGGATTCGAATCGTCCAGAGCTGCCATCGCAGAGGAACGGGTCAGTAGCCGAGGAATCGGGTCCAGGCCATCCCCCCTCCCTCCCTCATCTCCCACCTCCTCCCCCCTCCTCCCTTCCCCTCTCGCCCCCTCCCCTCGTCTCTCCTCCCCTCCCAGCCCCATTGTCACAGCACTGTGGGTCAGCAAGACAGGAGGCAGCATTGCAACAGAAATCATGCTCTGCTTGAAATGGCAATGGGCAATGGCCCATGGCAATGACAATGATTCGACAAATGAGTCAATGATCGAGTGATAGTCAGACTCAGACTCTGATCAGATCTGGCCTGGCCCGGCTGTGGTAGTGAGCTATTCTGACACACTGCCTCGCTGATGCCTCCACTGATGACGATTGACGACTCTCAGCTAAGGCCAACAAATCGTGCGTCATAAATAATTTTAAATTGAAATACTTCATAATACATTCAATGATTCATGAATTATGAATCACGGCTCAAATCATCGGCAAACTTCTCGTGCGCCTCTCCTGTCATGACGACTCCCGTCCCCGTCTTGACTGGGCCGGAGGGCTGGGAAGGTCAAAAGCACTTAGCACAGCCTCAAAGGTCCGGCACCCGGCATCGGCCCCTCGTCGGCTCTGCTGCGGGGCTCCCGGGCACTGGTAGCTTCCGACGCGTCACTTGCCACTGACTCTTTTCAACTCTTTTCTCTTGTCGGAACCCCAGAGGGCCGTCGCGATCATGAAATTATGACTCATGACTTCAACACTAGTTACTAGTTAGGGTCTAGAGCCAGGGTTTAGGCCCAGTTTAGGGGGTTTAAGTTTAAGTTTTAAGTTTTAAGTTTTAATTTTTAAGTTTTAGGGTCTACGTTCTAGGCTTGGGGTTTAGGGCAGTTTAGGGTATGAGACCAGACGTGCCTCCGTCATGTGACAGGTGACAGGTGTATTTTATCATATATATAATATATATAATATAATATATATATATAATATATATAATATATAATATATATAATATATAATATATATATATAATATATATATATAATATTATTATTATATAAATTATTTATATATATATTATATATATAATATATATATATAATATATATATATATTATGTATATATTATAATATTATATAAATTACATAATATATATACTAAGGGTTTTATCCAGACCCGGACAGCTTCAGGAGGCGTTGGCCCCCTTTTTAGGGAATCGGAAACCCGAGCCATGAGGTGAGAGCTAGTAGTGGCAGCACTTGGAGTCGCAGGAAGCATCGACCAGTTAATGTGCGCCAACACTGCGACCGTGAATTTATTTCAGCAACAGCAAATAGGCAGCGGCTTGCAGGTAAGTAGCCCCTATTGCCTAAAGCCTAAAGCCTCTAGCCTATGGCTTGGATACTGCCCCCACCCAGTAACTGATATATACACTGACACTGACACTGATACACTGATACTGATACTATTCCATATATATAAATATATAATATATTATATTATATTATATTATATATATATATATAGAGGAATATAAATAAATATATATAATTTATATAATAATATAATAATATATAATATATATTATATTATATTATATAAATATATGGACCAGCCGGGTAGACTTTATTGTATGGGGGCAGCACCCAACCTTACAGCCTATAGCCTCATATGATACTCATATGACTCATATGACGCATAGCCTCATAGCCCATAGCCCATAGCCTATAGCCTCACTATCTTTTCAACTAACCGTATATAGACCGTCTAACACCACCATAGTCAGAAACTTAACTAATTTGACATAATTTGTACACTTGTGCAATCGATGTCCCACGGCACAAAACTGCCCACTGCCACTGCCACTGACTGTCTATCGGTGCCCAGATGCAGGGGAAGAGGCTCGCCTTCGGATACATCCGCGCCATAAATTTGTGCCATGTCCTGCACGGAAGAAGCTGACCGACAGCATGCCAAGTTTGTGAGGGGGGGGGGCATGCACAGAATCATCGAATCCGACCGAACCGGACCTGTTCATGGCCCTCCCAGTCGTGATGGCTCTCGTCCACATAAGCACAAAGGTCTGCGACTTTGGAACCACCCAGAGTCTTCCCAAGCTTTTCAAGAATCATGCTCACTTGCTCCTCAACTTATGTAGAAAGCAACGCATCATCGCATGCTGCACAGCCGCACAGCACAATGACTCTGACAAACCTTGAAACTTGAACAATGACAAATAACCTCAAGTCTTGCGGCATGTCACATGAGCCAGCGGGGCCCCTTCAAGTAGGTCGTCACGGATCATCAAGATATATATGCGGCGTCGCAATTGAGGAAGCCCAAAGTCGCTGGACCTGGTTTCGTTAACATTAATTCAGAAAATTCATTAATGTTACAATGTCCGATTCCGCACAGGTATAGACTGGCTGCTCTGCTTGCAAATCCGACAGCATACCGGTGGATCCGGATTCGAATCTGCAGTAATCTGGAATCTGCATGACTGCACTGCTACTACATGACTGAAGACTCACTGAGGACAGAGAACGGGACAAAGACTCGACAGAGACAAACTAGGACTGCCAGACTGTCTAGTCCTGACAATGGCAACTTGACAACTAGTCTATTTATAAACTGTAAACTACTTGCCTTCGCGCCTGCATGCATGTTGCACTGCACATGAATTGCTGGCCAGGCACTTCAGACAATGAACCTTGACTTTATACCCTCCGATTCGCTCCAAGCCCAGAATCTCTTCCACCCCGTTCTCATGCAGGAGGGTTCCGCGGAGCATGTAGTCCAGTGGCGTCTGCATCAGGAAGCAGGTCAGTCAACCGGATCAAGCTACAGCAGCTGTTACAACTTACAACACAAGTGCGATCTCGGCATGTGGCTACACTTTCGACACCCATGCCCATGCTGCCCATGCGTACGATGCTCCACGACTAAATGCACGGCTGAGCTACTCACATGGACTTTGGGTCCATGGCCAGCCGAAACCTAGCCTAACAGCCGCCACACCGCCACACTGATCTGCTGCAGATCTGGTTCATATGATTCTCATCATTGTCATCTGAGTCATCTGAGTCATCATAGATTAGATTAGGTCACCAACTGAAGTCTCTGAGCTCCGCCCTGAGAGACTTTGGGACGTCCGGGAGTCCGGGGCGTGGCCTGGCTAATTACTGCAACTCTGAGCACGCTTGCAAGGGGATCTAGAGTGGGTCCTGCTACAGGGGAAAGATTACAATTAGAGTCGTAGTGGCACATTGCAGGAAACCTTGCCTAATCTAGCCAATCTACCAGTTTACCTCCTGCAGTGTCGGAGGTTTGGGTTATGTTATGTGTAACTGTGTAACATATTATATGTAATGTAAGTTTAATGTAAGTAGGTTAAGTTAAGTAAGTATGGGCCTGTATGGTGTTCGGTGTTCGGGTTCAGTGCTTGGCCCCAATTATAATTTTATAATTATTCAATCTTCTTAATCTACTAATCAATTTACAGTCTAATAGTGACTAGTGACGACTCAATATTAATATTAATAATACTAATTCTAATACCGTAATACCACGGATAAGAATCATTATCGAATCATCTATTTCAAGGGTATTGAAACTATCGACCCCTTTGTAAACGGCCCAGCAAGTCCTGCATCTGTGCTCATGCACAGAGAAAGTGCCGGGGCACACTGACCCACCCGACACAACATTGCCGACAGGCCCAGCCGCACGATACAAATCAGAATGACTCAATTACAGACAGTGTAAGTGTCAGACTCAGCCTAAAACGCACTGCCGCACTACGGATTGCCGCACAAAGAGCATTGCAAAAAACGTGCCGCACCTGTCTAAGGATCTGGTTGCAAATCTCTCAAGGTACGGAGAGCATCTTGACAAATGTCATGCTCTACTCTTGGCAAGCGACCACTGGTCACACGCTGCTCCAAGAATCCAATTGAATTCGAAACAAACTCCTCGCGCAGCTGCGCGAGACAATGCATGTGTATGGAACGATGGGGTTTGCTTTTGCTGTAGGCCAATCCAAAGCGGTATTCGCCTTTGTCAATATGATCCTCACAATGAAAACACTTCACCCCCTTGCGTTTCACAATCGCAAGTTCACAAATGCCTAGCTGTTTCTGGAAGTAGCTACTCTGAGATTGAGATAATCCAGCGGCCGACGCAGGTGTGTCGGAGGAGCACGCAGGTAGTCCAACGGCCGACGCCGGTGCGTCCGAGGAGCTTGCAGGCACCGACACAAGTGCATCCGCTGGCTGTTGCTCCTCCAGATCGTCTCTTTGAGCAGCCAAGTCAGCGGCAAGTGCCCGATCCAATTCCTCCTGTGCTTCTGGGCTGAGTACAGTTGGCCAAGCTTTGTCAGGATCCGCACTCGGCTGTAGCTTCCTTTTTTTCACCGAAGATTCTGTTTTGTCACACTCTTGCTCTTGATCATCATCAGCTGTCTGCTGTGGTTTCCTCACTCTTCTCTTGGGTTCCACCAATGCTGACATGCCAAACGGTAGCTTGGACACGGCTGTGGATGAAGTGGCTCTGCGCGCAGCGGCTGCATCATCTGCTTCTTTGAAGCCGATACCAAACTCTGCCACCAGACAGGAAGGAAGCTCCAAGACGGAATCCACGTCATCGTCGAGTACGAGATCATTGTAGATTCGGACCTAGTTAGTAGTAATTTACTGTTACTAGTAATTCATTCAGTAACCCAGTAAGTAGTGTGTAAAGTTTGATAAGTTAGAAGTTAGAAGTTAGTAGTTAGTAGTAGTTAGTAATAACAAGCCCTGAGTAGCCCAACATTTTGGTCGACTTAGTCTTATTATGGCCAGGGCCACCATTGGTAACAGTTAAGGCCCGGCGAAGGGTTTAGGGACGGTCTAGGTTTAGGCGGTTTCGGCTAGGGCTAGGTTCATAGATTCATGATTCATAACTTCATAAGATTCATAACTTATAACTTGCATGCTGCCCTGCAAAACTAACCCACAGCGATCCAATACGATGACGGACCACCTTGGCATGAAACTCACTTACGGAAACACCAGTTGAGCAGAGCTTTGCGAGGAGACTGCGGAACGTCTGATGAAGCGAACCCACTTGTAGCGCACCGTTGCTCAAAGAGAAGTTCAAACCACTGCTGCAGCGAAACATTGTGATCACAGTATGACACAAAGGACGCTTGCAGACACCTGCCATTGCGAGCCAATGTTCATGTGGCTCAGTAGTGCCTGCGCCCATCACCTCGAATTTGATAAGCAGGGGGCTACCTCCCAATTTCCCCAGCCCCGCATCGAACTGGCCCACCAAAGCCACAAACTGGTCATAATGCTCGTCCTTGACACAGGTCCCAGCTTCAGTGGTGGCACATGCACGCAGGAAGGTCGGTGTGCTTGTCGGATTCGCCAGAACCTGGGCGTCATAACCGAACAGCTTGTCGTATTCGGCACGTAAAGCATCCATACCAGCCCGCTCGGCTGGAATTTTCACAAGGGAACCACGAAGTGCAGCGTTGTGATCCCAAATGCCCAATTCTTGCTGCCAGCATTTGTGAGCAGACACTTGCTGCAGCGTGCTGTCCAGGCGTGCTCCATTCAATCTCTTGATTTGCGATTCCCGCAGGCCAGTACCGGTCGCAGCGGCTTCAGCCGCAGAATTCTGATGCTGCAGAGCTTGGCTTCTGAGTCGGTCGCGCTCCAACTGAATGTCGTTTGCTCTCACTTGATATTCCTGCTTCTTCTGCGGCGTCATTCTTGCCCACTCCGCTGACAGCATCTGGGTAAACTGCCGGTGTTCCAAGCTTCCAACTTTGACACTGTCGCAACGGGACCTTACTGTACATGTTACATGTAACTGTAACGAATTGATAATAACAAAAAATAATAATAATAATAATTATTATTATAATTTAATTATAATTATATTATATTATTCTGAATTATTCTTAAGTTGACTTAAGTTAACGAACCTAACTGGTAACCGCACCTTGCTAACCCAACCCGACCCAATCATGGACCCAATCTCATTCTGATCACTGATCTGAACCGAGTTCATCATTCGGACAAGATACCGGCACTCTTGCTGAAACACATTGTAGGCACTCACACGCCTCGTTTTCGCTGTCGCATCCTTGCGAACCTTTCCTTCGCGAACTGACATAAGCAGAGGGACGAGCATTGAGAATGTTAGAAAATATCAGAATACAGAATACAGAATAGAATATTATTTGACTGATAAAACAACCAGGTAGTAGAGTCCGGTAGCAGTAGTGTCAATTGAGTCGAACTCAGTCGAATTAAAGCTCGGTAGAACCTAGAACAGACGGAGCAGATAACAACACTAGTAGAACTTGTAGGCAGTAGTACTAAGTAGTACAGTAGAACTAGAACTAGAACAGTAGTAGAACTAGAATTAGAACGAACAGTAGAACAAGAACTAGTAAATCGAATGAATCGGAATCAACATACAGTAACATACAGTAACAAACAAACAGTATTTACAGTATACAAAGTATACAGCCAGTATGAGTATTTATTATATTAAGTAATTAAGTCAGAATTAGAATTAATTAGAATTGAGTCAGAATGCAGAATAAATTTGAATCAGAATCAGAATGAACCCATGTATTGAAGAGACTAAACTAAAACTAAACTAAACTAAACTAAACTAAGAGACACAGGCACCGACACAATGGAACCGAATGGGGCCCGGACAAAAGCCCCTTGAGCAATCCATTTCGGCCCTTGACGGTGCCCTCAGGTGTGATCTTGGCCTTGCCTTTCTTTGGCAAGCCGAAAAACGATGTGCTAGCACAGCGAGATTTCATGGTGCGCCGTATCCTTGCTTTGGCCACACCAAATTTCTCGCTCTCCAGGCAGCTGCGAACCTTTCTATGCGCCAGAAGTGTGGTGGTCACGTAGGAGTTTGCCTGCACACCGCCCGCACGCTGAGGTGTTTTTTTGTTCGCAGCACTGTCTAGCTGGATATTCGCGTGCTGTCGCTCCACTTGAACAGAAGTCGACGGAATGGCAACGACAACATCTTCCAGCATGATTTTCAATCGTTGCATGCGCTTCCGCCGGACGGTTTCTGAAACTCCATCAGCAAGGACCCAGGCCAGCAAAACCTGCAACCAGAGAGTCATGACTAGGCTAGGCTAGGCCTAGCCAGTATCGCCCGCAGCGGTCCTAGCTCGGAGTATTGAGAATCCTGCCCGTAGCCCCGAAGCCTGTCCCGTCCTATCCCCAATCCCAGCCAATCCCGGAAAAAAAAATCCCAATGTGCAGCCAATGATATAGTCATATAGTTTAAGTTATAAGTTATAAGTTGTTATAAGTTATAAGTTATAATTTATAAGTTTATAAGTTATAAGATAAGTTAAGATAAGTTATAGTAGTTATAGTCATACTTATAGATAGGCTTTGCTATAACGGTGCCTCCGCGAACATAGGGTCGCGGCAGCGCGGGCAGCGACAGTGCTGCTTGTTCAAAGACACTAGGAAATCCAGGGCATTGTCTACATCCATCCGGACCACTTGCAAAAGTTGCCAGGGACAACAAGTGTACGGTAACACTAGCCTCCTCCATGCCTCACAAATACCTATCAGCAAAAGTGGGAGGGAATCATGCTTGCTTACCCCGAGATCTGCAAACCAGTTATCTGCCGTGGCCGGGGACTCAAGCAATTGCAGATACTCGGCGATAGCCGTCTTTCCTGCTCCACCTGTCAGGATATTCAAACTCAGTTCGGCAACCTGGCCACGTGTTGATGGGCACTTGCTTTCAGGCAGTTCCAATCCAATGGACTTCAATCTGAACCTATTTTGGGCCGTCTCCGTGTACGAAACCTCATCCATGAACTTAGTCAATGGCCTCGAAATCACCAATGCCTTCGCAAACAAGACCTCAGCGGCATACATAGCCCTGCCCCTACTGCAAACAACTCTTGACGAGGACGAGAACTAACCCCGACAAAAAAGAGCGCACATCTAAACTGTTCGGGCAACAGAGGAAGCACTGTCTGCAAGGATTTGCTGTACTTTGGACATCCGGATCTGTTGCTTGAATGCCGGATTGCTGTCAGGAGCGTCTTCGTCTAAGACTGTAGCATCCTCCAAAGCAATGTCACCCGCATCTGAACGGCAGAAGCGCCACAAGGACAGAAATAATCCGTGGATGCCCACCCCTCGTGCTGCGAATTCCGCTGCCGGTTCAAATCCTTTCCAACGATACAGCAAAGGAACCTCGAATCCGCCCCCAAACGCAGCTCGCAAAGCAGAAGTCATGCGTCTCTCGAAGTCCTCATCGGATGCACAACAATCTGCCGTGCACACATGAACCAAGCCCTCATCCGCAGTCGTCTCTGCCCAGTCTGCATTCAGCATCGACAAGATGAGATCCCTTTCCTCTTCGGTTAGGATAGTGCCAAAAAGTTTCAGTTTCTTGGCATTTCTCGCCACAGCATCCCGTGTCGTCTGTGGGAGAGAAAAAGCCGGGATCCGTTGCGCCGACTTGACAAGCGATGCAATGCCAGCCTCCAGACGCTGACGAAAGAGGCTCGTGCTGGATGCGTGTGCCATCCGAACCAGACCTGTGCGAATAACAGACCAACACTGGGACCCGTATGAGCCCCGTATGACCGTATGAGTCAACTGACAGTCAACCGTATTTGAGTAACAGTAATATTAATATTAAATTTATAATTTATAATTATAATAATTATTAATATTAATATTAATATTATTATTAATATTAATCTATGACTCGACTCTATGACTCTAGGACAGTCTATGAGTGTCTGTGAATCTATTGTCGATGAATCAATGAATCATGAATGGGCCTGCTGCGACACCGGGAAGCCGTAATATGATGGGTTTCTTTGCAAGACTACCTTGGTGGTGAGCGCAGAACTGGTGTAGCACAATGTTCTTGCCACCGTAGCCATCGTCCGCCCTTTGCTTAAGCCAAAGTTGTTGTTCCATCGCGCTCAAGAGGACGTTCGTAGGAAGCGCATCAGTGCCTGATGATGTTAGTGCGTCACAGAAATTCGGAAACTGAAACCTAGAGCCTAGAGTTTTAAATTAAGTTTTACAGTCTTTTTAACACTTACTAAATGGCCTTTGAAATGGCATAGACATCAGACTCATCAGAATATCACGACCCAGGCACGGTGGAGGTGCATATAATTAACATTATAATATAAGATAAGAATAATAATTATACTCTGACAATTATATTTTTATGATATGTGATATGTGTGTGATAGACTGATATGATAGACTGCTGGACTGTACTAGTAACTATATAATATAATGTCATATAAGTCATATAATATAAATACATATTAATATAATTTTTGATTTTAATATAATATATTTTAATAATATAATATAATAACTTCTAAATTAAAATATATAATTTATGACTCATTTATATTTATACTGTATACTGAATAATTTAGATATTAGAAAGTCTAAATTCTTGATTTTGACTATCGTCCGCACAAGCTACAATTGATCACCACTCTCATTGGAATCTTGGCAAGCAGATCGTCTGCAGCTGCACCTCCCAAGCAGTCGGATGTGCCCTGGCAGGAGCAAAGCGTCCAACGCCCAACCCGGTCCATTAGCGTGGCAGCATTTGCCTGAGCCGAGCACAACCCCGAATGGAAGGGTCAGAGCCTTGAACCTCGAGCCCTTCTTTTAGACTCCTTTTCGCCTAATTCGCCTAAATCAAAATCCTCTAACCTAAACCCTTCGTTTTAAGCCCTAACCTAACACCTTAGCCTGAAGTCTAAAGCCGCTAGCCCGGTTAGCCCTGAACCAACATGCTAACATGCGGAACATATGGTAACATGCATAAAATTCCCCATCATCATTACTATTTACAACCCTACTCTAACTCGAACGTAACCCAGCCAAAAGCCAAAACCCCAGCCCAAGCCCCAGGGCAAAAACTTTACAGGAAAATTCAATCTATTATTAATTACTTGCTTACTAACTAACACTGACACGACCCTCTTGCCCGGCCTTCGGCAGCACCTGTGACGGAGAATGGACTTGCGCCCACTCCAGATCTCCCTCAGCATACCCTGACATTCTTCGAAGGCAGAAATGCTGAATCATTCCCATAAGCTGACTGACTCGGCGACCCCCCAAACGCCCGCGCTGCTCAGCCTCAGTTGAGCCTGCTCCTGGTGCAACCATAATGTTGGTATCGTCGAATTGTCGGACAAATATGCAATGACCAACGGGTGATCTGCGGAAGAATTCGAGGATTGCTGCAGCTTGTGCCCTCACATGCGAAACCAGCCCTATGATGCGCATTCTGGAAACTGTCGAATCTTTTCGACACGATGCTGCATAGTGTGTAAGCTCCCCCTCTTCGTTCAAGAATTGCAGGTCCTCTTGCCTGAGCCAGTGAAGTTGCATTCGTGAGTGCGAACAAAAACAATAACCACGACAGCTTGTAGAAGAAGAAGAAGAAGTAGTAGTAGTAGTAGTAGTAGCAGCGGTTTAGCAGTAGCAGTAGCAGCAGTAGTAGTAGTAGTAGTAGTAGCAGTAGCAGTAGCAGTAGTAGTAGTAGTAGTAGTAGTAGTGGTGGTTCTAGTAGCAGCAGCAGCAGTAGACAGTATTCGTTAAAGAACTATAAATAAAAGTAACAGTAAAAGTTTAAAAGTAAAAAGTTTAAAATTACAATATGAAGACCAGGCACACCTTCCGAAGTGCCGCAGAATTATGAGCCCGGGATGTGTCACTGAACACCACGCTTGCAAGCTGATGACCCTGCGAGTCCACCGTTGCTTTCAACCTTGAAGCCTCCTCCCTGACTTGCCTCGCAGCAATCCCCGCCGCAACAGCCAGGCCATGTGTTTTCCCCTTGGACCGCCACACCTGTTGCACTGATCCCTCCTGCGCTGGATTCTGTTCCCGCTCCACAACGGTAGCCCGTTCCTTGCCTTTGGATTCGAAAAGACGCCACATGTTCGATGGGTCACAGATCCCTTCCGAAGGAAACTAGGGTCGTAATATGTGTTGTGGAGTTTGGGCCACGGGTTGGGCTGTTCGTGGTTTAGATAGTTTAGGTTTAGTTTATTTAGATTTTGACTCCAAATCTAAATTCGAAATCTAAAATGGTAAGGGTTGTGATTTCGGGAGGGATTTTGGAGGGTCTTGTGTGGGGAATCAAGAGAACTACGGGTATATGAACCAGAACATGTGCTCAGCATACAGCAGCATGCAGCATGCAGCATGCAGCATGCATTGAGAGTGTAAGGTTTGGATCTCACGGTTCGGGGTGTAGGTGTAGGGTTTGGAGTGAAGCCCTAGAAGCCCTAGGCCCCAGACCCAAAACCCTACACCCCCAAAAACCCTAAGCCTAAACCCCAAAATACCCTAACCCCCTAAACCCAAAACACCCTAAGCCCTAAACCCTACACCTACACCCCAAAAGCCCTAAACAGCCTAAACCCTAAACCCCAAATACCCTAACCCCCTAAACCCCAAATACCCAAAACCCCCAAACCCTAAATACCCTAAACCTCAAGACCTGGGCCCGGGGTTCATGGGGGTGTCAGGGCTCAAGTGTCAGGGCTCAAGTTGAAGCTCGACCCCAGAGAACCCAAATACACCTGAATTTAGGATAATATTAATATACCGAATATACCTTAAAAGAGAACATGAAGGCCCCTAAGTCCCCTAAGTGTCACGGAATCACTGCACGGCCAGCTGACAATCCCGACTCCATCCCGACAATCACCGACGATCCCCATCACAATCTGATGGCCAAGAATGCCACTTTCACGACTTCGCGTCGATCTTCAAAGATTTGGTTGCCTCTTGTCGACAACCCTAGCGGCTGTCTAAGGCCCTAAGCAAAGATACCAGCCGTCAGAAGCACTACCGATAAGATCTGATTTGATCTGATCGAAAACCAAATGTAGCATGAATCATGAATAAATGAAGTCGGGATAGCCAGCACCATGCAGTCAAAGACCGAACCCCATGCCAGTTGAGGCCGCTTGTGCCAACGATCACCAACTTCTAAAGTACTGAATCACTGAATTTTGCGATGCTTTGACAATGGTGTCGACAGCTCGTCACGTGCTCGGGTAACTTTGGGGGTCACCGGAGAGTTAGGAGTAGAACGACAGGTGGTATTAATGTTCATCTTCTTCTGATTCTGAAGGCCAACAACTTCAAGCAAAAACCAAGATTCCTCTGATCCTTGGCTGTCCCCAGCGCACGATGGGGTCGCCGGGCTGCGCTGCTGCCACGACACATTGGGTCTCTCTGGCTCAATGGAGTCTTGTGAAGCCGGAAAAGCCTCCTCCCCCTTGTCAACAACGACCCTCGCAGAACCTTGCTGGGGAACTCCAGATGTGCACCCCTTCGATGCCAATCTTGCCACCACATGGTTACGAGGAAAATGCTTGAGGATCCGAAGCATACACATGGATTCAGTTTGAGAATCTGTGCTGTCCTTCCCGGCAGGCTGCAATGGGGACCCAAGTTTGGGGGACAGTTGCAATGGGACGCCAAACTTCGGGGATGCCTGTTGTCCCTGCGTGATGCCTCCAGGAGAAGTCAACGCAGCTGCAGCTGTCATGACAGGCTTCATGGCTTTGCCGCACACGACTGTAGACATCGCAGGGGATACTACAAGTACAGCGCACGAACAGACAGCGCACGCACAGACAGCAAGCTGCTATTGGCTATTTCAGTGACCAGGCTTTTGGCACATCACGGCCACAAGAAGACATCTGAATTCTAGTGTTTCAAACTTTCAAGCAGCAATCACTGGCAATCACATAGGCTTCAGTGGGGGGCTTTAGGCTTAGGCTGTAGGCTGCTTTCGGCTTCAGGGGTTAGACATCTGCAAACTCCGGAGGGTCTCTAGGTGCTCAGCACTTCCACTGCATAGCGCAACTCAAACAGCCGGCCTGGAATGTCTCATCCCGGGAAAGTTGACCGTGCACTCGTCGCAAGCAGCCATCCACATTCTCGAGGATGGCCAGCCTTGAGAAAGTAGGTTCATGCCAACTTCAACCGCTTGAGGTCTAGTCTAGTCAGACAGGCAGTCAATCTAGTTTATTTTTTTTTTGCCAGGATGCTTTGGGCGACAGGCCTTTATGTACCGGGAAGCTTCGACAAAGGGCACCGCATGTTTGTCCTAAGCCCCGCTGAATCACTCGCAAAACCGCAGATGCCGCAGAACCGCAGAACTATACGAAACCACAAATTGCACCAGTTGGTCCGTGAGAGACTGAGCGGTTTTTGGGGTTTTACGGTTTAGGGTTTCGGTTTAGGGTTTAAGCTGGTTTAGGGTTTAGGCTTAGGGTACTGTTTTTTGCATCCAGGCATCCAAACCCCCACCGTCTCTAGATAAGAACATGGATGATGCCGACGAGTGCTCATAGCGGAGGGTGCTTTCTTGGCTAAAAAGTTTACACGTAAAACCAACAACGTATAAATCCAAGTCCAATCGGACTGGATCACACCAGCGATCGTGGCGGTGACACCACCCGCCAAGCCTGAACAAACACAACTAACACAACTGTTATCAGTATGCTGTATGCGAAAATAGGTAAGCCTCGCGTGCTCCATCTGTCCAAAGCAACATGTCACGTCGTTGTTCATCATGAAAAAATCGCGCGTTGCTGCCTCAGATGAACTGGATATCAGAATCAGAATCTGAGACTGAGAAATGATAACTGCACGAAGCGGCCTCACTGCTACAATTCTTCGTTGAGCAGCATGACATTCAGATGAGACAGCCTCTTCAAAATTCCGGCTGCTGATGATCTGTCTCAAGGCGAAAGACGGTGCCCCAGTTCCGCTGCAAGCGGATGCGACTACCTTGTCACTCAATTGCTGCACCGATAATCACTGATGAACCGGACGGGTCGCCCTATTTCACAGCCTAGGCACTAAAGGAACCTCCAATCGCCTGAAGAGGTTTTGAGGAGGAACACCAACGGCATCCTGAAACAACTGCGGCCAATTGATGACCTGAAAGTTAGACTGTTCTTCCAGCCCTTTCCCTCTCGACCGCGAGCGGGAACGCTCCCGGTCCGCTGACCTGCGAGGTGGAGAGCTCATGAGCACAAGTGTGATATGACATCTAGATTGTGGAACTCGTCATGCCCTATGTGCAGCCATTCATATATCCGAGCAGCTGATCTCTGTCTGCACTGGCACTGTAGGATTGATACAGATCGGATAAGGGCATGGCCCGCAGCAAAGAACTAGAGTCGACGCGACACTTTTTCAACTATGCTGCCTATGCTGATGCTGGCTTTGATGTGCCGTGATCTGGCTAAATGATGAGAAATGCTCCCACATCTCTGTGACCTCGCACTCAAGCTTGTGCCGCAAACCGAGCTCACAGCCAGCCTGTCAGAGACAAATGCGATGCTTTCTCTATCTTATCTACCGTTATCTACCTAACTCTGACCTAACCACTAACCCTGGGAATGCTTAAGACTAGATTTGTCTATACTATCATGATTGAATCATGATATTCTATCTAGTTCTAAGTCTATCTGGGGGTGCACCTGCCTAAAAGTAGTCTTAAGCATTCCCAGGGCTTCCCAAGTTATGAACCTATAAAGACCGAAAAGGACGTCATGAAACCCTATGATACCAAACCCTACACAGTACTCCTACAAAACCCCTATCACACACGACCCTGCTATAAATAAATGCCTTCAAGAAGAAACAAATCTATACCTTAAAGCCCTCTTCAGCAAGTCACGGTCCTCTCGTAACCCGACGAGATGTCGTATCTGGTCGTGAGCATCCACGGTCTTCACATGAAAACATTCCTGGGGTGCGTAGGAAAACTTAGCTATGGGTTTAGCAAGAGGCCTCCGGATTTTTAACGGGTTTGGCGTAAGCAAAAGGGCACACTTTGGGCCTTGAGGGTCTAGGGCTTACGGTTGCTATATGAACCAGAGTATGTACCTCTCTACATCCATGTAGCACTTAGACGAGCTCCAGAGAGTAGTCCGTATGAGTATCCCTCTGTAAAGATACACTACACTTTACACAGGAAAGTAAGCGGGAAGAAGCTGTCAGGCTGACCCACTGAGAAGAAGTATACATGTGTGTATATACATTACATACATATACATATATACATGTATATACATATATGTTATGCATAATACACGTGGCTTTTGTGTAAGCTACATCAAAATATGAACTCAACAGAAAAAAGCGTGTCATTGAAGAATCTGCCTTAAGAACCCTCATAGGTCCATATGAAACCCAATAATCCTATGCACGTAGGACCTTCATGCTCTATTTGGGGTTCGGCTTGGTTGTTATAATAATGCCAGAGAGATTGGTGTTTGAATAGCTAGCCACGCAAACTTTAAATGCTGTTAAAAGTTTAATGCCCTTAAATGTTTTAAATCTTTAGAATTCAAATGGGCTGAATAGGCCGAGCCCTTAGTTTTGGAAAGTCAAATGGCCTTTTGAATTTCAAGAACATTGAAAATGTTGAAAATATAACTCCGTCAGCAATTTTCATTTCTATGTTTTTTAAATGTTGACGCCCCTAATTTGTTGATCTGTACAATTTAAATGGGCCAGCCATTTACATTGTAAACTGTTTTGATAGTTTAATGCTCTTAAAGTCTTAACGTCTTTAAAATTTTAATGGGCTAAATAGGCCAAGCCCTTGATTTTGGAAAAGTCACAAGGCCTCGCAAATTGTAACATATCTGTAAAAAAAATTCTACAAGTTAAAATGGGCCAGCCGTTTGAGTTTTGTTGTTTTGCCCGCAAATTCTTGAAAATCCTTACAGTTTAGATGGGCCAACCATTTAAATTTAGAATTCCTTTTTCATGTTGATGCCCTTAAATTTTTTTGAATCTGAACGATTGAAAAGGGCTAAATAGGCCAAGCCCTTGGTTATGGAAAAATTCAAAAGCCTTTAACCGTTAAAAAACCTTAAATTTCAAATGGGTTTAGACTTTAAACTTTGAAAATGTTTCAACATCAATGCCCTTAAAATCTAAAAATCTATAAACTCTTTGGAGTCTAAACTGGCCAAGCCTGTGGCTTTAGAAAAGTTAAATGGCCTTTAAGATTTCAATCCTGTAAACAGATAGAAATTACAAAATTTTGGCTTTTTGATATATTTTGATGCCCTTAAACTCTTGAAAATCTTGAAAATGTGAATGAGCCAGCCATATACTTCAATTTCAAAACAAAATTAACAGAAACTAAAACCTTGAAATTCTTCCATGGCCTACTCCAGATGGTACTCTATCAGACAGGAATCGCGTTCCCTTATAGCACCATGTGAAACTCTTTTCAAACCTCTGCCGCCAAAAACCCTGCACTCCTGAATTCAGTGCCCAGACTCCACAGGAATCGTATTGCCATATCCATCCCGGAGTGCCAGATGCATGGCCTGCGCCAGAAACAATCGCTCTGTGTCCGGTCGGTTCCTGAGCTCTTGAGGAACCTAAGTTTAGGGTTTAGAGTGTTCCAAGGACCATAGTTTTGGGGTTTAGGGTTTAGACAGCTTCGGACTTGAAGTATGACATCCTACCCTAAAAGTCCAGAAACCTGGGTGCTATAGGGCATGTACAGGGCTTACGGGACAGTACCCCAATGTATAGCTCACCGGGGCTTCTCGGGATGATAGGAGCATATGGCAGAAAGTTCGCTGCCGCGTGCCCTCTTATGGTGGACTCAGCAAGGAGTTCCCGAAGAGCCGAGATTCACTGCCTCTATGAAGCGCGCTCTGTCCTCTTGCGTCGCAAGACACTGCATGAAGTCGGTACCGGCGTTGTTGCTGGCACGGAAGAGCATTGACGCGAGATTCGGCATGTCTTTCACCAGGCGCAATGCTGAGTCCAAGAAGAGATGTGCATCACAGAAAGTTGCCAATAAGGACTCGCATGCTTTGGCTTCGTTCTTCAACATTGCCGTCTCTAAGCTCTTCTCGACAATTGAGCAAGTCGTGTGCTCCAGCCAGGTGCTAATGAGGCAAGATAGCAGTGACAGTGCCGTGTCAATGGCCAGCGAGTTGTCAACGAAACGCACGTAGAAATCGGCTCGGGGACCCCGGGGTCCCATTTCCGGTGTGTTTCTGTCTCGCGTCCACTCTGTGGCCACATGCATGCACAAGTGGCAAACTAAGTTGCTGAAGACCACCAGCCTTACCGAGTTCGTCAGCGGTACGATGCTGCAACGCAGGAGCCATGTCATCGAGATCGCCATGACGAGGTGACGTCCTCCTATCATGCCCGGCAGGAGCGAAATGGATAGAAGCAGCATCAACAGGAAGTAAGCGAAGTTCATGAATCTCCAAGTCATTCTCCCGGATGCGATAAGGCCTGTAACTGCAAGCAGGATTACCTCCCAAGTGACCAGCACCACATCACGCTGAATCCGCTCCATGAACGTGTCACCGGCAACTTGATAAAATCGGTATGCTGCGCTCAGGAGCAATCCAACAGCCGCCGCTGATTTCGCAATCTGCATCCGGTACTGATTCTGCAGCTGTGTGAGCTTGGAATCTACCTCTTTGCGAGGCCTCTGGATGCAGCACAAGCACTTGCAACAGCGCCACAGCCATTTGGGCAACTTCCGTATCATGTCAAGGCCACCCGTTGTCACCAAAACAAAGAAAAGCACCTCTCAGGGGCCAAGCAGGACTCAAGGTTATGAGAGGGTTTTGGGGCATGTTATATTATAACTATGAGAAGGAACCAGGAACCCCGAAACTAGTATTGGTAGTTACTATTAATTTAGGCCCCTATATGACGTGGGTTGATGCGAGCTTGGGTGGGCTTGGGTTCGAGCGAGACTGGTGCTCAGGACTCATTTGACGTTGCGGGATTTGCTTTCGGGTCAAGGGTCTATACTCCAAATTTGCTGAACCAATCATAACTACGCTCATAGTCATAATCGTGGTAGCAATAATCCTACTAGTAAGCCCTATGGCTGTAATGTCAGAAGAAGCGCCGGGAGCTGGGCGACGGCGAAAGCCATGGTCCACTCAGAGGACGTCGTCTCCTTGCCCAGAGCCGGCTCGATCGCTTCAAAGAGCTCCATGGCGGAATCCAAGGATTTCAGCAGAGCTAGGCAGAACCGGCCAAGGCTTTGGACCCCTTGTTGGGGGAAGATGTCTTATCGCCTGGACTTGCATAAAGGGCTAGGCGCCGTCCTAATGTAATCATCAGATCCGTCCACAGAGGCACCGGTATAGGCTGAGTTGGATGGGTTGGGTTTTGGGGGATTAAGGCTTCGAGTACCGGGGCTTGCGATGGGAAGGCAGAACTGAGCCTTCGTATCCGGCGATCACAAGACCACCATGTCGTTGGGGCCTGCATAAAGTAGGTACCTGATGAAGAAGCCCTGGTCCCAAAACCCCCTAAATAGTAGGACTTGTATAAAGAACCCCAATAACAAGGCCAGGTTTCTTGATCAGGATTGAATTTTGAAAAGCATCTTACTACTGGGTTTCACGGTCGGTGCCCTGGACGCTCACTCGGATTCGGTGTTGTGCAGTGAATGAAAGGTTGAGGTTGCGGGTACACTTGAACCTGAAGGTTCGTGGGTAGCTTGCGCCTTGACTACTGCTATGAGCCCTCTTTTGCAGTTACCCTAGTGTGAGCCTACCTGCTCACAACACGATTCTTCGGTCACGTCGTTACAAGACTTGCTTGCTGACGCTAAAGATAGCGCGTAAACAGGTCGCTGTGGGATACAATTCAGCTTGAAGGCACTCCCCCTGCGATAACCAGGCCCCGGTACGTACTTCAAACTGGCACAAATAGACCGAATCTTCACACCCATCGCGTCTCAGGTTTGGCTGTCTGAGATTTAGGGCAGTGTTCAGGGTTTAGGGCGATTCCCCTGCTGTCCCACGCCTGTGAAGCCTGACTGCTGGCGCAAGTTTTGCCGACTGAGCTTGTGGCTCTGTTGCCAGTCTCACGTTGTGGCGTGGCACAGGTACTGGCAGGTTTCGCCAGACCAATGCTGCAAGAGGAATCGTTATCAGTGCGAAACCAAGGGGACTCAAATCACGTGGAAGGTGCTCGTCAAGGAAGGAGTTGAGAAAGGGGAAGGCATTGAAGATGAAGATCCCTGGCAGTAAAAGAAGCAAGGACTTAGTATAATCCAGTAA